ATATCGATTTTTTTGGCATTGTTTAAATTTTGACTGTTTCTTCACACTTATTTCACGTCTGAAGACGAGCTGGGGAACCAGACTCGAAAATTTACGAAATAAAGTTTGTTCATTTTCCCAAAGGACTCATTCTTCTTCGAATATATATATGCGTAAATATTGAAAGGTAGGCATCCCAAGCGATATAAGGTGAAAAGAGGTGGGTTCTTTGAGACAAGAGTGTTTATTGCGTAAATTTACGACGCTGGCTCCCACGTCATCGTCAGACGCAAGCGGAAAGCAAATGTGAAAGCAAGAAACAGCTAACGTCAATAGTGCACAAAAAATCGATACTTGCATGTCGTGTGCGCCGGTTGGCGTCCGTCGTGTGTCAGTCTGAGCTGGTTGGTTCCCTTCTCTTCCATTTCTCCTTCAGGTTTCTGTACACGGCATCCAATTTGATATGCCGGTTGATGCATGAGTCATCAGAGTGCATCGCCTCGAGGAATTCTCGGCCTTTCTTGAAAGGGCAGACCGCGACAACGCGAGCTTTGTCCCAAGCGAAAGTGTGCCCGGTGTCCAGCGTATGCATGTCTACCTGAGACAGATGGTCTCGCCTCTTTACTGCCAACTGGTGCTCATGGATGCGTGTTGAGGCGGATTTTCCAGTCTGGCCACTATAGACGGCAGTACATGCATCACACGGTATCTTGTAGACGACCTCTTTCTTGTCCAGCTGATTAACCCTATCCTTAGGATGTACCAGCTGAGAGCGCAAAGTAGTCGTAGGTTTGTGCGCCACTCGAATCTGGTGCTTCCTTAAGTGTCTTTCGACGAGTTCAGACGCATTCTTAAGGTAAGGAAGGGTTCGCCAAGTGCTTAATTCAGGCGTCTGATTGGAACTACCCAGCTCCATCTCCCTTGATTCTCGCTGCCTCATGCATCTGCGTACAAAATCCTTAGGGTATCCATTCTGCGAAAATAATTCGTACAAGTAATTCACTTCGGCTCGATAGCCTTCTTCATCCGAACGATGTGTTTTTGCTCGACCAAGGAGACTGTTTACGGCAGTCCGTTTGTGAGAAATGGGCTGGTTGCTCTTATAAGGAAGAACCAGAGTCGAAAATTTACGCAATAAACCCTCTTGTCCCAAGAGAACCTACCTGTTTTCAACATATATATATATATATTGCTAATAGAAGCGAAGATTCGAGTCCCCCGACATAAATGTGAAGAAGAGGCGATTTCGGGAAACATGATTGTATTGTCCTGACGTTTCAAACCCAGCACGACAATTAAGGTCAACGCGAATGCGGGCGATGGCCACCAACGTTCAAATGCCGCCCCCCCGACGAGAGACAGGCAGATTGACAGCAGTCACCCTCCCTCCCGCTCTGCCCCGGCGACTACAGAGACGATCCCTGTGCGTATGCGGGCCATTAGCGCCAAAGCCGATTAACCACCCCCTCCCCCCTTTAATTACCACCGTGTTAACATGACTGATATCTATCCCCCTCCTATAAATACTGTGTGATGCCGTACGATACTCACCTCCGACGATGAAAGCTTGTCTGTTTTTGAAACGTAAGGACAATACAATCATGGTTCCCGAGATCGCCTCTTCTTCTCATATATATATATATATATATATATGTATATAAATCTTTTATACCGTACTCACGACATACATACTTGTTAAAAGCCCAGACACGTGTTTCGCCGATATTCTACCGCTGCGTGACACAGCTGCGAGTGATTCGGCTCTTCACTGTAACCCGCAGTGTTCTCTAGCGGTTTCTGGTATATGAACTCCAGATAATAATCAAGTCCAAAATTTCAAAAATTACTCAGTGCAGGACATGGAGTTTAATCTCCGGAACATGACTTTTGACGGTCAGAACGGAAATTTCAATGAAAATTCGATTTGGAGACAAGCAACCATTGTGGAATAACCACGTAATGCCCATTCTACAAACAAGTAGTACTACGAGTAGTATGAATTCCATATGGTAATGGTATTATACCGTACTCCCCACCTAGATACTTGCTAAAAGCCCAGACACGTGTTTGGCCGATATTCTGCCGCTGCGTGACACAGCTGCGAGGGGTTCGGCTCTTCACTGGGACCCCCAGCGTTCTTTAGCGATTTTTGGTATTGGAACTCTAGAGAATAATCAAGTGAAGAATTTCAGAATTTACTCAGTGCAATACTTGTAGTAAATCTGCGGGATATATATAAATATATTCTGTCAAATTGCAGCCCCTTTAAATTCTATAGCAATAACCTCGTCAATCTCCAATCTTCCACTGTAGAACACACTTTCACGGTGCATGCTCTGTACGGCGTGTCGACCTTCCCGATCGATTAGATACTCCTAATTGTATATCACAATAATTCCCCAGGCGGTTTTACATACAGTTTCAGTTTAACCGCGAAGTACTGCGGCAGTTCCCTCTAGTCAGCACAAGCTCTCCTATTTGCTCATGCCGCTTTCATTCCCCTATGCAACACCTATTTATCAATGACTGGTGTCCCAGAGAATCGCCACCATCTAGGTAAGAGCTCAGTACACATCAATGCTGCATCCCCAATGGTTG